ACCGCTAGTAATATACATATGGTCATCTTCCGGTCATGTTGCTCATCTCATATGAGTATCACTTAATGACACCTACCCCAGCGTAAAAGGTGTTCTGATAGTCGTGGCAAATGCATTTATTGCCTTAGATGATGTCCGGTGGGACATAATGAACTCCGTGTCTAGGAGGTAATAATAATCTCTAGACACAGAAAGGTAAACTAGCAAGGGCAACTACATCAAGACGCGATAGTAGTACCTTAGTATCTACTAGGTCAGTTGTGTGCCAGAATGGAATCTATACTAGGCGAATCGTCTTCAGATTTGTCTATTTCGCATAGTACATGTAGTCTGACCATCTGGGTGCTGCAGTCTGCAAATAAATGTCACGTGACCGAGTGCTTTTTCTAACTACAGGCGGTAGCTACACGTTGCTTTGATATTCAAAAACGACGTCTTGTTCAGTTTCAAATCAAGTATCATTGCACCTTGAAGCCTATGAGATATCAACTTGACTAGCCTACCTGAATGTCTTTATAATGAAAACCCTTGGCGCCGAAACCGCTAGTATTCATGAATACCACCCTGTGATAACACGTCGAAGTTGTCTGGCCACTCTTATTGTGATATGTCTTTATTCTGGAACCACTGTATGCAGCGGTCTTCTTGTAGACAATGATTCACCTCAGCTCCTTCTTGCGCAAAATCTCGCAAGCATCTCATTCTCAGATGAATGGCAGCTACTTGGCCCTTTCCAATGTGGTACCAGAGGTTCGTGCCGCTTTCAGGCGCCTTAGCTGAGAGCCAGCCACAAACAAATGGAAAGTTGCGAGCTGATTTGAATGCAATCTCCCAGAGGCTGTCTGGGGTGCCGATCCCTTGGAATCTCATGGTGGTTTTCATAGCCTTTCTTTTGATGCAAATGCAAGCTTCAACAGCGCGCTAGCAGTCAATGGGAGCGTCAAATGGAAAACTGCCCGAGCTCTCACACACAACTTTGCTCCAGGAAAAGCTAGAACGGAGCTCCATGTGAGCTTCCCAGAAATAGACTGGAAGTTCACGCAAGCTGTCTATGGATGGTCTGCTCTACAATATCAGGCCTGGGCGCGCGGATCATTGAATATTGGCCATTGGGCCCCTCAGTCTGTGGCAATATTCACAAGCGGGCTCCTTGAGATTGTGATTGATGGCAAGCGGCATTTTGGAGGAGATTTTTATGACTATGGCACAGTACCCATCATTATTGATTTAAGTACAGGTGACCATGTGGTTGAACTGCGGCTTATTCGCGATGTTCGAGCTTCGGGCGCGATAGGAGAGCCCACGATCGTAGTGTCGCTTGCCGCGGAAATCCGTAACGAACCTCTAAGTGTCGATAAAGAAAGTCTGCTGCTGCCAGACATGTGCCGTGGCAAGCTCGGTACACCTTGGGCATCAATCAACCTATATAATAACATCGCGGATCGGATCGCGGTTCTTGCCATCAGCTCAATTGGTGTTGGTGCCAATTCTCTGCCTCTTTGAAAGATACGAAAGGAGAGTGACACGTACTTAGGACTGCCGGCATAGTCTGGTGATGAATGAGCCACTAGACTTGCTTGGATATCAAGCACGACCTCTCGTGTTCCGGATCTACCTTGGTGATTCGTCCCAAAAGGAGTTATCGGCTGAAATATTGTATAAAATACACCGCGGGAATGATGAGATAGTCCAAACTTACCCACTCCGTTTGAGACTCACTGAAAAATCAGTATCCCAGGGCCAGAAGCTTACATACTATTATGCAGGCATAGTCTCTTATGCCATCCTGCGCCCTCCCCCAGTGATATGTGCACCTGCTATTCCCGAGGGAGATGGCGCCTTGCCTGTCATTGTTGGCCTGCATGGTGCAGGTGTCAAGGCAGACAGTGTACAAGTTCGTGAGATGTTGGATGCCGCGTATGGTACTTGCGCGTGGATATTATCTCCCAGCGGGGTTACTCCTTGGAGCGGCGACGATTGGCGTGAGTTCGTCGTGTTCCTTATCTTGAACCCCCTATGTCGTCCTAGAACATCATGTTCCACATTGCATGGGTCCGCTGCCTTCCCAGCCTATGCATTCCATTCTCACGATCATATGGACACTCTTCTTTCCACGTCTTAGGTGGCATGAAAGAGGTAGCAATTACTAAGGAAGAGGCTAACTGACTGGCTATAGATACTTGGGGTGCTGGAGACGTCGAAGCTGCTGTGAACGCAATTCCACGTTGGATTGACAGTACTGGGTGGGATAAGGTGCGCGTATCACAGGAAGAATGGATAGTCGTCGGACATTCAAATGGAGGTATGATCTGTTAAATAACCGATTTCTCAAATCGCTAAAACTCTTGTAGGGCAAGGAGCGTGGTTTTTGGCCACCCATTATCCTGACAAAGTAATCGCCGCAGCGCCAGTGTCGGGCTACTCATCCATTGAGAGTATGTCGAGAACATCAGTTTCGACGGTTGAGAGTGCTAATACAGGTAGATTACGTACCTTACAACATGTGGCGGGATTCCGAGCCTCTGCTCTCATTCGTGCTCTCGAGGTCACTGTCAAGCTTTAAACATGAGTTGCTGCTAAGCAACGTTGCGGGTATCCCGATATTACAACAGCACGGCTCAATTGATGACAATGTCCCTGCGTTTCATTCGCGCTTGATGCATGAATTACTTGGACAGACCCAGTGGCGATCACAATATGATGAATTGCAAGGCCAGAATCACTGGTTCGATGGCGTATTGACCACCCCATCCCTTCTGGCATTCTACAATGAAAGTGCCACCTTTCCTCGTCGACCCAGGCTTCCTTTGGCATTCACCATCACTGTTCCGTCCTCAGCAAATATTGCGAAAGGCGGGATCTATGTCGATCAGTTGCGATCTCCTGACAAAAACGGAGTAGTGCAGGTCACAAGAGATGCGCATAGCGGTATCTGGTACCTAAATACGACCAATATACATCGCTTCCACCTTTCGCCAAGGGTCTTGAATTTCACAATGCCCTCTGCGCTAGTTTTGGACGGCAGGGATCGTTTTGAAGTGGGTTACATCCGGCCTGAACGCGTGTGGTTTCTGAGAGATTCTCGAGGAAGGTGGACTGTCTCAGAGAGAGAGGATTGGCGCCAATTGAATGAGCGGTATGGTCGTCAGCTCGGAGCTATGGATGCCATCCTGCGCACCAAGGGCACCTTCAACATCAACATATGCTCAGCTGGGATTGAGCACATAGCTGTGCAAATCAGTCGTAATCTTCTACAATATTTTGCTGCAGATTCCCAACTATCACGGCAATGCGGCTCCCTAATTAACTCCGCCAGCAATCAGGACCGAGTTGTCGATAGCGGGAATGTTATCACACTCGCCCTGGGCAACGAATTACCTTCATCGAAGCTCATATCATTTCCGATTCGCAGACAGGGCCAAGGTCTCAGTCTCTTCCAGGGCTGTTGCTGGCCTCGGGCAGACACAGAGACAAGCCCCCAGTCCAGCATGAACCGAGAGTGTAAGGTATATGAATTCCCCTTCGAGCGAGGCATGGGCGCCCTCTTCCTCCGCCCTTTGGAGAATGAGAGACTCGAGCTTGTTGTATGGGGAGCAGACTTGTCTGGTCTCGAGCAAGCTGCACGTCTTGTACCTACCCTCACAGGTGTGGGGCAACCAGATTTTCTCATTCTTGGCGATAGGTGCCGTTGGCAGGGACACGCTGGAGCATACGCAGCTGGTTTTCTCGATAGATCTTGGCAGATATCGTCCGGGTCTTATATTCGCGTAGATGCCAGCGTGAATGAGCAAAGTTTAAAATGCGGTGCTTGATCAGCCTGCGATCCTGGCGATATTGAGGCAACTCAAGCATGGTTATGAGGATGGACATGTCACTCCGGAAAGGTAAGACCTGATATCATGATCTATCTTCAGTACTATGTAATGTCAGAACACTGAAGGTATTCCCCCTCAATCTAAATGTGACTTAAAACCATGATGTTCCGTGTCACGTTCGGCTCAACGTATCAGTTCATTGATTTATTCATACTAGGCTTAACTTCTCTTTCTTGTTGGGATTTTGAACATGGCTCTAAGTGTGGCGTCGTCACCTGGGGGTCCTTCTACTTCAGGTACACTACTGCAGCACACTTCATTGCAAGAGTGATCCCTTCTCTTGATTTCCCTCCTGCCTATTCTTCGCTCTCTTTTCTTTTTGATCATTATCTGATATCTTCTACTACCAGCGCTCCTTCCTCATCACGGCACTGTCTTGAGTCTAGTTTGCATCAGGCATCTTACCTTTCGGTGGTCTAATGTCGAAAGAATCCATCCTTTCTCTCACGTAGAGACTCCCATCTGTCATCTTTCGTCCCTTTCTTTTCACAATAAATCATATTTCTCGGCTTAACACCATCTTTTCGACAATTTGCTCTCTGCCAGCTTGCCTTTACATCTGGAATACTCATACATTGCCAGGTGTGTTTGCCTTTTTGAGTACCTTTCTACAATTGCTTCTTGTCTCCTTCAAAACTTCGCCTCAAAGACTGGCTGCGGCAGATTTCGAACCAGCGAAGACTTAAGTACGCCTAGCAGTTGAGGCCGGCAGGATGTCCATGCTTTCAACTGGGTCCCCTAAAACGGATCGCCGACCATCGCGAACAGAAGCCCTTTCAGGCAATCAGATAGTTGAAGCACAGTTTATACATTTTGGATGTGAAACATCGGTAAATTGAACAACTCCTAGCTTTGAAAGTTATATTTTCCTTGAATCAACCATAGTCTAACGCATTTGAATGATATTCACAGGGACGCAAGCAATCCAGCAGTCCAAGCAGCACACCAGACCCTCTGGTGTCTTGCAAACTCGGAAATTTGCAGCCTACTGCTGGTGAAGTCGTCGATGTTTCATCCAATAAGGTCAGCACTTCTCTGCCAGGTCCATTAATACCCATTGTCTCACAAATCTAGAAGCAGAAGCTGGAGCATTTGTCCACTGCCTACCCAAGCAGAAGTTCCGAGATGGAAAAGCTATTGGCCAAACTTTCTCCCAAGCCTCAATCCTCTCCTTTCAAGCCTGTTGAGAATCGAGAGATACTCACGAGGCTGTCCGAGCAACAAGCCTTGCTTGAGCAACAGAACCATCTCCTGACAAGCAACAGTGCTTCGATCGAGGATCATGTTGATTGCGACAAGAATTCTGCAGTGAAGCCACTCACTTCGACATTGGAAATATCGCATGCCACCGAGACCATAGATAATGCTTGCTTTGTCCCCACGAATACTGAGACGTCTGAAGTGCTCCGCCTCAAGAAGGAACTGCTCGCTGCGAATTCTAAGCTGGCCCTCCAGGAGCAAGAACTCGCACAAACACGAGTTATCAAACACACTCTGGATCAAGCTCTTGGAACACCCTCTGAAGCTGACTTCAACGGGCGTGAAGTCACCGAGCACACAATAAGCCATTTGCAAAGTGCCTTCAACGCGTCCAGCTCAACCTTCACGCAGCCGCATGAAGGATGGAATACCCATGACGATTCACAATCAGACGTCTCTGAAACACTATCCACAGGCGCGTACAGCAGGGCTCGAGGATTCTGGTGGCCCCAGACGCAGCAGGTATTCGGCATGCATATGAATGCTCCAGCTGGTGAAAAGGCCTACGGTGAGCATGTGTCTCTCTCAAGCAATACCTTTGGTCCAGAAGCCAACAGGTTCTGGACCAACCCCACTGCAAGTCTTAGCATGAATGGCTCTTTTCAACCACATCGAGTTCTTTCGGGTCCCTCCTTCGGGACCTGTAATTCCACTACGCAATACTCTGAGGGTCCAACTCGGTATCTTCATAGCCCAAATAGTGCTCAGCGACGCTCAGTACCCCATGTCAATCGTGCTGGCCCTTGCTTTTCAGCCCAGAATCCTTCGTGGGAAGCGTCGTTTAATACTGCATCTCCCAGCAACCAGCTTCCGCGAGCCCCTACAACTCGACCGTGCAGCACGTATCAGCAGGTGGGTTTATACCCAATCCCACCTTACCAAAGACCTATCGGAACCTCGCTTTCGCCTACGGCAAATGAGTTTACTTTCTCTGGCGCAAATGCGGTGCCCTGGACGACATCTCCGGTGAGTTTCCACCAACAATCATCCATGCAATCTTGTCTCCTCTGCTAAAGCAAATAGGTCGGCCCAACCACTTTGCAGACCTATATCTCTCCTCTTGAACCACTCAACTACCGTCGGCTCCTCGATAAAAATGTGTCTTGCGACTGGAAATATATAGTGGACAAAATTGTCTGCAATAACGACCAGCAAGCCTCTATCTTTCTTCAACAAAAGCTCAAAGTTGGAACAGCTGAACAGAAATATGATATCATTGAAGCAATCACACATCAGGCGTATCCGCTCATGGTCAATCGTTTTGGTAACTTTCTTGTCCAACGTTGCTTCGAGCATGGAACTACAGAACAAGTCGTTGCCATAGCAAACGCCATCAAGGGCAACACGCTGAGCCTTAGCATGGATCCATTCGGATGTCACGTGGTTCAAAAGGCTTTTGACTGTGTCCCAGAAGAACACAAGGCTGTCATGGTTCATGAGCTTCTTCGCAGAATTCCAGAAACGGTTATTCATCGGTACGCATGTCATGTGTGGCAGAAGCTTTTCGAGCTGCGTTGGAGCGGGGAGCCTCCTCAGATTATGGCGAAGGTCAATGAAGCCCTACGAGGAATGTGGCATGAAGTTGCTCTGGGTGAAACTGGCAGTTTAGTAGTCCAGAACATTTTTGAGAACTGTGTAGAAGATGAGAAGGTGATAGTTTCCCCAGTCCCCCGCTCGGAACGCTTGTTTTTCATCTTTCGTCCTTGTTGCGCGGATTTACATCTCGGCAGTCTTGTGTCGACCGAGCATATCTATTTTTGAAACCAGATGATGAACTGCGCTAACGCTTATGTAGCGTCCGGCTATTGAAGAAGTATTGGCAAAGATCGATGTGCTCGCCCATGGCCAATTCGGAAACTGGTGCATTCAACACATCTGTGAGCATGGCGCTCCTCAAGACAAGAGCCGAGCCATTGAACACGTTCTCCTTTGGTCAGTCGATTACAGTATGGATCAGTTTGCCTCCAAGATCGTTGAAAAATGTCTCAAGATAGGGGGCTCCGAATTTTTGGATCGCTACCTCGCCCGGGTCTGCACTGGCCGTACTGATAGACCCAGAATGCCCTTGATCGATAGTGAGTTTCTTCAGACTGAATTAAATGTGCTCCACCGACTGAGTTGATTTTCGACAGTTGCTGGAGATCAATATGGGAACTACCTCATCCAGTGGATTTTGATGAATGCTGCACCTCATCAGCGTGAATTGGTCGCCAGCCACATTCGGTATTGCCTTGCCTCTCTCTCTACCTTTACCGATATAGCGATGCTCATACAATCATCATAGGAAGCACATGGTATCTTTGCGTGGCTCCAAGTTTGGTTCACGCGTGGCAATGCTCTGCTGCAATCCATCCCATACCACCCGTCCCGGACCCGGAGCGGGCATGCAGATCGGCCGTTTCAGCAATCTCAACGATGACCGGTATCATCTGGCAGGCCAAAATGGAGGGAGATTCAGCCGCGGAAACCAGTGGAATCCAAACTATCCACCATTTCGTTGACTGAGCCTCTAGGAATTTCGACCAGGCACAGCGACACTGACGTTCGCATACTGCAAGGTATGAATGTAGGAACGAGCAAATGTTATCGACATTCTTGTGGCAAACAGGCAATTCAGGATGAAATTCTTATGTTGTTTCTTGTGCCTGAAGGCTGGCAATATTCTGTGCGAGTTTCCAGATAACCGGTTGAACTCATCGAGAGATTGTGCATTTTATTTTCTTTGTGTTTCTGGTTTAGTATAAGTTGTTTCCCTTTTATGGTTGAGTGAGCGATCATATGATGGAAATAGTCGTATCCCAGTGCATTGCAAAGGTATTAGCAGGTATGGGATAGTATGCTGGGACTTAGATAACGTCCAATGACAAGTGTATATCCCGGATCGTCTCCTGGAATGTGTGCGGTTCGATGGCTGTCAAAGTCATTCTCTACATAGCCATGTCATTCCATGAACGCGCAGTGAAAGATACAAAGATAAGAGGCTTATTTCAAAAGAACGCTTCTTTGCTGGCTCGATTTCTCCACAAAGCTCAAAAGCTTGGCATGATAGAATTGACAATTCATGTCTCGAAATCCATGCTTTGTGCGTTGTTGTAGCTTAGCAGCTTCTCATCCGAGGAATCATCTCAATGTTGGGGCCGAAAGATTGCACCTTGACTGCAGTCCGCGTCAAATGGAGTCTTCAAGCAGAGACATGACTGCTGGCTCTCCACCGCGGGGCTATGCATGTGTAGTTGATAGTGTAGCTGACTCGTCAATTCTCATCCGGTGACTCTGACCCTCGTGCAGATTCATCCTCTACTTCCCAAGGTTTCCGTCGTCTCGGTTTCTCACTTGGAGTATCATGGCCCGTCAAAACTGTGTCAGGTATTTGCTGAATGCCGGGTATTTGCTGACCAGTCGTTATGAGTTCGACAATCCGAGCGAAGGATGATGGGTAAGCGGGCTCTTGAATCGAGGGCGATTGCTGATTCATAGGAACTACGCCAGGCGGTACTGCGGTCTCTGATGCGCTTGCTCTTTGAGAATCATGATTGCGAATTTCAGCGTCAGGTGAGGGCTCTGCTGTCGGAGTCGAGCTCAGCCAGGTCTTGTATTTTTTGAAATCGAGCGGCGGCGATAGCTGCTCTTTGCTATATGAATATCCAGCAAATGTTAGCATAAGCACATCACATAAAACAATGCTAACTGTAAGTCTGACAACGTGCGTTAAAAGGGACATACCGCGAAAAATAGAAGCATTTTGCTTGTAGTACTAGGTCATCTTCGCAATCGATCTCAGCTTCGGTTGCCGGGATGTTGGGATGACCGAGGATGATGGAGAGCCCTTTTGCAAATTCAACATCTGTACTGAACGGATAGAAATTGAGCTTTCTGAAGAGATCGATTTCTGATTCTTGCGTCTCTACTAATTGACTTCCCTGACTAGGTGTGTTTCCCACCATTGTGTCTGGACGTGGGGTCGTGGTTTGTGGAAGAGTGTCCATTGGCGGACTGCACAAAGGCTCGTCACTAGGTATATGCTGGACCGTTATTCTTGCAATACTTGGAGGATTCGGGCGATATAATTCGGGTCCTGAAGATAAAAGGCTTCGCTGTTAACTCGATGCCAGAATTCTGGTTGGTGAGCCTCAAGGAAGTTAAAGGACAAACTGCGTATACGTGGGGAGAGACTTTCAGCCGAGGCAAGAATCGCTCTGACGTAAGATCTTATATCTACCTTAGATATGGGAACACAGATGATAATTATAAGAACGGAGACTAATAACTGGCGCGTCCGAGTCTGATGCATTCGTAAGACTTTTGCCATTTGCACCACACCTCAGCAGACGATATCAAGTTATGATTACTACTCCGTATCCGTGCCTTAAGCGTTGAGGGTGAGCCTAAGCCACAGATATATGACACTAGCAAGCCTGCCGTCTCGACTTAACAATCCCGTACCAAGGGGCCTTTCTTAAGCAAGTTCCGAGATCAAGCCAACTTCCGGGAGGAGGGAGAAAAGAAAAGGACTAAGACTGGGGGTGTGGGAGACAGGCAAAAAGAGAAAAAAGCGCCAGCCATGCAATCCAAAACGAATCAAGACAGTGACACAATAGAGTCTTTCGCCTCTTAGGAAATGAAGGGAAACAAGAAACAGTTATGTTGAGGTGTCCATTTCCTCTGTGCCAGTCTGACCCCTAGGCCGGTCAGCCATGGCCAGCCCACCAATCCCGCTTTGGCAGCCTGGGCAATTGTGCACAATTTCATGAGCAAAAAGATCACAATCAATACAGAAGTGATTTTTGCAAACTGTACACTCATAGCGACTGCTGACACTCATCCCTCTTGCCTGGGACTCCGTAGCTTGCCACTGGTCTTTAGAAGGTACCGTAGGGAAATATATGCCGCAGGCAAAGCATGTCAAACTGCGTGAGGCACGTTGCCAGGGAACTTCAACCCAGTTCATGAGCGGAAACAGATGATGATAAGATCGCGCAAGATGCGTTGACAGTATAAGTGTAAGACCGCAAGAGGGACATTCGGCAGGGAGCCCACAGACTTTGCTACTGCATCGTGAACATAAGTACCCTCCGCAAGAGGGTTCAGAATGACACGAACACAGAGAGGGACACGTCTCGACAGTGCGGGACGGAAACCCCATCATTAAAAGGGAGCTTGTGGCTTGTTTTTGGGAATATGTCACAGGGGGTGTCGTTACATCCATCATTAATTCACGAAAGTGCTGCTCGTTGAGCGCCACACCATACGTGGTGTCGTCGCCTGCATTAGTCCTAGAGCAGAGTTCACGACAAATAGCCACCTGAGCGGCCAAACCAGCAATTCTGACACGGATCTTGTCATTTATCAACGTGGTGATCGTCTGATGTATATCGCCCGGATCGGAGGAAAGGAGAGATCCAAAGATCACAAATACTTCTCGGGTTCCATGACTAGGAGTATGACTATCGACGCCAGGTCAGTCTTACGACTAGAAATGTGTGCTAGCTCGGGTGTAGAATGTCTCACAATAAAGCACCACGCGCCATTTCAAGCCCGTTCTGCAAGCTAGGAAGGCCCTTGGGGTCATGATCCCTCAGAGCCTGTATAGCACTGATGTGCTCCGTAGGGTTGCCACTCATATCACTGACCCGGATTGCAAGACCATCCCTCAAGCCAAGCACGCCAAGTTGGGATATGGGATTCTGCTCAAAAAATTCCCGTACGAATTCTTGTGCATATCGCAGGGAAAGAAGGTATCGCGTCGGCCTTAGATCTTTCTCGGCCATAGACTGGGACAAATCCAGAATCAAGATGAGATGCCGGATTATACCACGTTGCAATGGAGTTGTATCTCTTAAAAGTCTACAAGACGATGATGATTATGATGCTGCTCAGTGCAACGGCCCTTAAAAGGTATATGGAGTTTCCCATTCTGAGTGAAGCTTACCTCTTCCTTTTCCCGGCTTCTAAAAGTCCTTCAACAGTAGAGCTGATTGTGCCATCAGCACCCTCGACCAAGGTCTCCCAAGTCCTCGAAACCTCCCATTCAGCACCCCCGCGCTGCTTTCTCCGTTTAGGACGGGATACAGGCGCCGTTTCCCGGGCATATCGGATACCCTTGACATCGTTTTCTTCGTCGGAAACTTCACCAACGTACTCTTCGTCCGAATCAGCCATGGTCTCCTCGAAGAGTCGAGTGGAGTAACTGTATCGGTCTGTAAGTGTGTGATAATGATAGGAGCATTGAGTCAATCAAAGCGATCTACACGAGACTTGAAAAATTGACTAACAATGCTCGTGCTTATCACAATGCATCAACTCATCATGATAGCTTGGGCAATCGGTGATTTGCTTCGAGAAAGAGTGGGCCGAAAAGCCAAGAAGTACCTAGCTTCCTAGGGTATCTACTCTACCTAAGAAGGCAGGGTTCTGGGACAGCCCGGAGCTCCGCCCTAGCTCCGTATTGAAAATTTCGGCTCTATTTCTCCGAGGGGATGAGATCCACATGGAATGGTTAGGTACCTAGGTACAGAGTAGAGAGGTAAAGGATTGTTCCAGAGACACAAGGCACTCTGTAATCACTATCACCCTTTGCCTTCCAAAATTCTAGGTCGGTAAATAGCTGATTAGGTACAGAGCCGTCGAGAGATGGATATAGATGATTCTCGGAGGCATTGTTAGGTATGGAGTAAGGTACAATGATAGTATCAGTGTCAACCATAAATTACTTGACTCAAAACGTGTCTAGCTAGACGACAATAATAATATATACTATGAAGCGTAGCAGAAATACTGGTAGTACAATACGATGTTTAACACATACCTAAGGTAGGTGGTGTCAATTTTCAAGGGTTTATCAGACCCAGTGAGAGATCCTTCACCCTAGTTTCGTCCATCCTTGCCCTTCTTTTTCCATGTCTCGATAAGCAGATTAGCAGAAGCTCTCCTTCAAGTATCCCCGACAATAACCGTCGCCAGTTTCGTAACAGATGTGGGGGAGAAGGTGTTGCATCGCGTCCACCAGATGCGCTGGCGTAATCCCTGAAGCAATCCGCTGTCATCATTTTGTTAGCTATCGACCCATCCGGCCAGTGTCTCTTCTCCGCCCCTCCTTCCCCTCTTCTACTTCTTCTCGAGGGGTTTCTTCTTCCTCTCGCTTTTATCTTCCTTCTTGCACATTTCTGCGTCGCCCAGTCAAACTTAATCTTTCAAAATCCCTCGTAAGGCACTGTTCATTTGAAGTACGCGCAATGGCAATGACGGATAGAGATACACTTCCTGACGCGTAAGTTTTTGGATCCTCTAACACCTGGCTTCTTCAGCATCGTGGACATGTGTTGACGAAGTAACAGGGTTAAACCAGTGCACTACCATGTGTCCTTATATGATCTCGAGCTTGGTGGTGCTTGGGGTTACAAGGGTATTGTTAAGATAGATTCCACCATCACCCGGCCCACCAAGGAAGTTGTGCTCAATTGCAAGGAGATCGAGGTTCATAAAGCAGAAATTTTGGGAAAAGATGGTTCGTCCAAGAAGCAAGATCCACATTTAGATCAATGCGCTGCTGTAGATTCCACTGACGGCGACTGTCATATTTCTTACTTTAGGTACGGAATTCGCGAAGGCGTCTAAAATCACGTATGACAAAAAGTCAGAACGAGTGTCTTTTATGTTCTCTCAAGAAATATCGCCTTCAGACATTGTGCTATCTATTGGCTTCACCGGCACGATGAACAATGCCATGGCTGGTTTCTACCGCTCAAAGTACAAACCTGCCGTGCAGCCCACGGCTGATACACCCAAAGAAGGTGACTTCTACTACATGCTTAGTACTCAATTCGAGTCCTGTGACGCACGAAGAGCCTTCCCTTGCTTCGATGAACCAAATCTTAAGTCCACTTTCGACTTTGAGATCGAGGTTCCCAAAGGCCAAACTGCCTTGAGCAATATGCCGATCAAGTCAGAACGAGACGGTAGTAAGCCCGACCTCAAGTTTGTGTCCTTTGAAAGGACCCCAGTCATGAGCACCTATGTCAGTATAAATACCTTCGTCCTTATCTGCTAAGGAAAGGCTAACTAGTTGCGATCTCCGTTTAGCTTTTGGCATGGGCTGTTGGTGACTTCGAGTACGTTGAAGCTATGACTCAACGCAAATACAGCGGAAGGAGCATACCAGTCCGTGTCTACACTACGAAAGGGCTCAAAGAACAGGCACGTTTTGCCTTGGAATGTGCTCATCGCACCGTCGATTATTTCTCGGAAGTATTCGAAATTGAATATCCCTTGCCCAAGGCTGATCTTCTTGCCGTTCATGAGTTTGTAAGTGGTGCAACAATGCCTCCTGAAGGTCCTACTTCCACTGATCATATCGCCTCAGGCCATGGGTGCCATGGAGAATTGGGGTCTTGTCACATATCGTACGACCGCAGTTCTATTTGATGAAGGAAAATCCGACACCCGCTACAAGAACCGCATTGCATACGTCGTGGCTCATGGTGAGTTTCTTAGTTTGAGGCATAATGATTGCGTGTTGCTGTTTTCTAAGAATGGACCGCAGAATTGGCCCACCAGTGGTTTGGCAATCTTGTGACTATGGACTGGTGGAACGAGCTTTGGCTGAACGAAGGCTTTGCAACTTGGGTTGGCTGGTTGGCCGTTGATCACTTTTATCCCGGTAAGAGAGAATCCCCTGCTTCTGTCTCGATATGTACTGCGACTTCACCAACTAATATAACGAACCAGAATGGAACGTTTGGTCTCAGTTTGTCGTACGCAATTCCCTAGGTAACAATGTCATTGTCCGTATGTTGTTAACTGGTCGCATAGGCTGAAGGGGTGCAACAAGCGTTTCAGCTCGATTCCTTGCGCGCATCTCACCCCATTGAAGTTCCCGTAAGGAACGCTCTGGAAGTAGACCAGATTTTTGACCATATCAGCTATTTGAAGGGAAGCTCGGTGATTCGCATGCTGAGCGATCATCTTGGTCGACAAACGTTCCTCCGTGGTGTGGCCGACTACTTGAAGAAGCATGCGTATGGTAAGTCAGGCTTGAGGGTTCGTCTGCAGAAGATCGCTGCTGAGAACGATGTCAGGTAATGCTACTACAAATGATCTCTGGTCTGCCCTCAGTCAAGCTTCCAACCAGGATGTCCATAAATTCATGGTGGGTCAGATCTTGCTCGCTTCGCCTTCTGGGGTTTTTCTAACTTTTCCTCAAAAGGATCCGTGGATCCGAAAGATTGGCTTTCCTGTTCTCACCGTGGCAGAAGAGCCAGGCCAAATTAGCATTCGCCAGAACCGATTCCTTTCAACTGGGGACGCAAAGCCTGAAGAGGACGAGACGACATGGTGGATTCCGCTGGGCATCAAATCAGGACCCCGGCTGGCCGACGTGAATTCACGCGCCCTTGTCTCGAAATCCGACACTATTGCGGGCATCGGTCAAGATTCATTCTACAAAATCAACAAGGATCTGTCAGGCTTCTACCGCACGAACTATCCTGACGACCGTCTAGCGAAGCTGGGCCAATCTTTGGACCTGTTAAGTACCGAAGATAAGATTGGCCTCATTGGTGATGCTGCTGCTCTCGCTGTGTCCGGAGAGGGAACTAGTGCTGCATTATTAGCTCTCCTGGAAGGTTTTAAGGGGGAGGAAAACTACTTGTTAGTGCCGAGCACATTTATAAGAGTTTTCGAACTGCTACTCACCATATTCACTCCAGGGTTTGGTCACAGATTTCGTCGTCTGTCGCAAATCTGCGCTCTGTCTTTTCGCAGAATGACTCAGTAGCTGCGGGATTGAAGAAATTCACACTCGCATTGGCATCTCCCGCCGCCGAAAAAATAGGCTGGGAATTTAAGTCCGACGAAGATTATCTCACTGTGCAGCTTCGTAAGCTTCTAATCGGCATGGCTGGGTTTGCGGGTCATGAAAGGTGGGTTTCCGATATTGGCAGCTTGTGGGGAAAGAAAGTTCGGCTTACTGTTTTCTAGCATCGTTACTGGGGCGAAACGGCGTTTCGATCTTTGGGCTTCAGGCAAGGACAAGAGTGCAGTGCACACGAACCTGCGCTCGGCAATCTTTGGTATCACGATCGCTGAAGGTGGACGCGACAAATATGATTCCGTGAAGGAAGAGTATATCAAGACCGACTCGGTCGATGGCAAGGAGATTTGCCTCGCCGCGCTTGGACGTGTCAAAGATGCTGATCTCGTCTACGACTATCTGGACTTTGTTTTCTCTGACAAAGTGGCAATCCAGGATGTGCACAATGGTGCCGTGGCTTTGGCTGCTAACTCGAAAGTCCGCCATCTTCTGTGGGAGTACATGAAGAAAAATTGGGATGCCGTTGAAGCCCGACTTTCGGCGAACAACGTCGTCTTCGAGCGCTTTGTGCGAATGGGTCTGTCGAAATTCGCAGACCATAACATTGGGGCGGATATCGCTTCCTTCTTCAAGGACAAGGATACAAGTCCCTATGACCGCGCGTTGGTGATCGTTGCTGACTCCATACGAACAAATGCAAACTACAAAGAAAGGGACGAAAGACTGGTTTTGGAGTGGCTTCAGGCTCATGGCTATGCCTGATTGCTGCGAACAAGCTGCTAGGCTTGATTGGAAGTTTGTATTGCAATGCAATCGTTGGGTCCCAAATTCCTGGTCATATCGGGATGGTTCTCATTTATTATGTGCAACAGAAGTCAAGATGTGCTTGACCATGTCAATGGCTACATAGGCCTATTTTATGAAGGAAAGCTTCAGATTGTGGCAAAGTAAAAGTATCTACTTCTCAAAAGACAATGTCCGCGCAGTCTCAGATAACCACTAGTAATGGCTTACTCTCTCCTTCTACTGGACTCAGCAATGATGACACACAGCGGCAAGTATAACACTGATTCGTGACAGAGATAGTTCCCTGGTCACGAGGAGACATCTTCAGATGTGTGGGGGGCGGGTCGCTGAGCTGGAGTCCCTGCTTTGGAGACCTTGTCAATTTATCTTACATCATGACAAAATGCTCAGATTCAAGCATTCTACTATCACCAAGGGATACTGTGTATTAAAGAAGATCGAGGGAGCGCTCGAAAATATGGGGTGTCAGCTGAAGGGGCTAACAGCTGACCACTACGTGTCATTCACCATTGCCATGCTCGTGCTCATCTTCAGCATTCTTCTATTTTATCACTCACTGGGAATATTAATTGTACTTGATCTAGTTTCCATAGCCATTTTGCCTATCTTGGCGGACATCCGATCTGATTGATACTTATGAGGTGTGTAGGTGTTTAAACGCTAGACTAGATTGGGCCAATTTATGGGTCTGAGGCGGTTGAACGTGAAACGGTCACAGACGGTACGGAGTACGGTCAGATGAAAAACACTGGTAACTTGCATGCTCTGCTCGCCTGCTCTCCTGCACTACCTACCGACTACCTACTACCTTACTACTAGCAACGTAACTGCCATCTCAGAACGCCGCTTCAGTCCATCTAAGTGCCTAGACAATTCCAGGCCACACTTACATCAATAGCTAGCCACCTAACTTTGCTATAGCCGTCTCATCTCATTCTGCTTTCCCCAACATTCCATTCTCACTTCTCACCTCCTTCAAAGCGACCTAGTTCTCGTTGACAGATACCACCGCTCATCATGAATCCTGAGTGGTAAGTTTCCCCCTTCTACCTACAGTACAGGAGGTTTAGAACTGGCGCTCTGCGCGCAGCGAGAAAATGTCTTTCTCCTTTATCTCTCTTGTTTATGTTGACTGACTGCTGGATTTAACTAGAGTGCCTGATATCTCCATCTCTCCTGTCTAGTCGTTCATTATCTCCGCAAAAATAAAAAGATAACTCCAACTCACCTGGATCTGTGGATAGATACGACTATCTCTTCAAACTCCTTCTTATCGGAGACTCTGGCGTCGGAAAGTCTTGCTTGTTGCTTCGATTCGCCGATGATACGTACACAGAGAGTTACATCTCCACCATCGGTGTCGATTTCGTATGTACTCGTCGCAAAGGCATACCGTTGAGCATACAGGCGCCTTCGCAGTACTGATTAATGATGTTCCAGAAAATCAGAACTATTGAACTCGATGGGAAGACGGTGAAGCTCCAGATTGTAAGGACAAAGCACCGAAAATGGGCTCTTCACCGCCTGTCATAGCTGACAAACAATATATAGTGGGACACAGCAGGTCAAGAACGTTTCCGAACCATCACATCGTCTTATTACCGTGGCGCCCATGGCATCTGTGTTGTTTACGACGTGACCGACATGGACTCCTTCAACAACGTGAAGCAGTGGCTTCAGGAAATCGATCGCTACGCAACAGAAGGGGTCAACAAGCTGCTTGTGGGTAACAAGAGCGATATGGAAGACAAGAAAGTCGTGGAGTATACCGTAGCCAAGGTTCGCGTCCAACCACGCCTCAGTCTGTCTAGCTTTCGTCCTAACATGATTTGTGATTTACCTGTTTAGGAATTTGCCGATAGTCTTGGAATTCCTTTCCTTGAAACCTCAGCCAAGAATGCTTCCAATGTTGAGCAGGCTTTCTTGACCATGGCTCGGCAGATCAAGGAGCGTATGGGAACTGCCACTGTTAACAACAAGCCGACTGTGCAGGTCGGTCAGGGTCAGGGTGTTCAATCTGGATCCGCAGGCGGTTGCTGCTAAGGGAGTCATGGTACACACATGCTGTTCTATGCTCAAGTGTGTTGTAACTTCTGAGCGACGGAAAGGGTATTTTAGCCCAGCTCCCGGTGATGGATTGCCTTTATACCGGGAATCGTTCAGATAGTCTTCTGGGTTTCCTCATCCGCCTTCCTTCTCTGTTAGTTTGAGATGACTGTTTGGAACTGCTTCAAGATTCTTCCATGCCTTTAGACTGTCCCGCAAATGTTTTCCTGCACGCTATTTCCACCGGTGTTCTATCTTATCAATGCTCGCTGTGCCCCTTTATGATTTCTCCTTTGGTTTCTTCTTATCCTCCCCTTTCTGCGGCACTCCTTCTTTTATTCTCCCCTTTTTCTTGAGGTTGGACTCGTTAATGTTTGTCGAGTTAATTGTAAAGAAAGTCAATCCGTCTTGGGGGAGATAAATCGTCAGACGATATATTCTAAGCATTACGTTACATCTATCATGCTTTGACTGGGTTTCATATTTTCCGACAGGAGCAGAAGTCTGCCTGCAGCATCTTTCGCGTAAATAAATTAGGCTAGAGGGGTCAGGACCGTGAGAAGGCAGATCGGAGATGAGCAGACCAGGGCCTGTGATTATCGGAGATCAAACAGACAAGTAGACAACACAGTCGTAGAAGTTGTCAAACATGAATGATCTCCAGGTATAATGATGACCAAGTAATCTTACTGTGAAATAACATTGGGGGACACTGTCAGCCAGACAGCCCTGACTTATCAATTTAGGTGAGTATGCCACTCTTACTCACGGAGAATACCATGTCGACTGATTTGAATAATATTTCTAAGTAAGTTTGGAATCATCATAATAATGTGGATTAAAACATAAAATGCCGTCACATGCAAATGAGGGAAAATCCTGGGGCCGCTTGGAGACATAGAACGTTTCTAATCTCTTAGCGTAACACACCATGAGCAAACATATGAGGTTATTGAGTTGACTGGCCTGCTGTGGACCTCGGCCTCTTGCTAAGATCTCGCCTTATTCATATTAAAGACTCGAAAGATGACCCTCAACTCCAGATTTTATATCCTAAGCTGGACATGATCTGTATAGATAGGACCTTTTAGGACTGGTCCAAATAAGCCCAAAGACAAAATGCCAGTCGCCAATGATCTTTTCAGAAAGGACAAATTGTCCCAACCATAAATAATATTATGTGCGACCACCATGAGTGCATATCATAACTTCGGACAACGGAAGGGGGTCCAACGACAGCCGAGGCTCAGTTGAAATTCGGTAAACGTCATGAACGTTATCGTCATGATTTCTCCATCTTAAGCCGAATCATTCTCGCGCGTCCTACCTCTCCAATGAGTCTGCTCATCAATATTACTCCCAGCTGATCCCCATTTCATCATTCCTTTGCTCCTTATCCTTATCACAGAGTGTCCTGTCATTCATCTCATTACACCCACCTTGCGTATCGATCTCAATCCGCTCCTTCAGCATTCCTTGGGGTCGTTAGCATCGAACTATAACCCTGGTTACTCGTCAGATATCCGTTCTTGAACCGAACGCGCTTTCTGTATACAGTTACCCTTGGACTTCTCAACCAGAACACCCCTTACAGGATTGACTTGTGTTCGCCATGTCCCAGTCTAGAATTCAAGAGCAAAAAAGGGCGGTTGCAGCGTCAGCTGCCGCTCAACAAAGTGACAATATAGCGCATGCATTAGCTGGCGCTGGCGGTGGCATTCTTTCAATGGTCTTGACGTGCGCAAACTTGAATCTCCCTTTATTGGAGCACTAGTTGACGATAATTTGCTGTTAGCTATCCTCTCATCACCCTTTCTACAAGAGCACAGGTCGAATCGAAACGTGCCCATTCTACAACCATGGACGCCGTTCGCCGCATTGTCCAGCGTGAAGGTTTCAGTGGACTGTACTCCGGACTTGAATCGGCGCTGTTCGGCATAAGCGTTACTAATTTCGTATACTATTACTGGTTCGAATGGACTCGTGCGGCCTTCGAGAAAGCAGCCGTGAAAGCTGGTCGTGCATCCAAGAAACTTACCACGGCTGAGTCGATGATCGCTGGGGCTATCGCCGGAAGTGCAACAGTCCTGATCACCAATCCCATTTGGGTCGTGAACACAAGAATGACAGCTCGCAAGTCGGATGCGGAGGACCAGGCATTGCCTGGTGCGCCGGAGAAGAAGGCACGGGCTTCGACCATTGGCACCTTGATGGATCTGCTTCGACGGGAAGGGCCTACGGCCCTTTTTGCCGGAGTGCTCCCAGCGCTCGTCCTAGTGATCAACCCCATACTGCAATATACTATCTTTGAACAGTTGAAGAATATCGTGGAGCGCCGTAGACGCATGACGCCTAAGGATGCGTTCTATCTGGGCGCTTTGGGCAAGATACTGGCCACCACGATCACGTATCCTTACATCACAGTCAAGAGCCAGATGCACGTTGCAAGCAAAGATGGTCCCAAGGAGAGTTTGAACGGAAGCTTGAAGAGAATTATCAGGGAGGAAGGGTACACAGGTCTGTACAAAGGTAAGCTGAATATGCGTATGCCGCGCAGACAATTCAAACTAAGCTGACGACTACGCAGGAATTATTCCAAAAGTTACGCAGAGTGCGATTACCGCGGCTTTCCTGTTTGCTTTCAAGGATGTTTTGTATGATATGATGGTATCGGCTCGGAAGAGATCTCGACTATCTAAATAGACGGCATCTTCCTCCCCGAGCAGACGTCTTTGTCCACCCAAGCTGCAAGTCGGGCATTACGGACTATAACTGTCGAGTCGAGCTTTGACAATTGTCCTGTAATTCCTGCTCTGGCACACCATCTGCATTTTTCGCCCCCATCCGGCTCGAGCTTAGCTCACATTCAGGCTATGTGAAAGCTGAATATTCCGCATGATTGACTGACCCCGGGTCATGCATTATCGCCTTGATGAGCGCAAGGCAGAAAGCTGGTTTGAGACTTTGTAATACAGCCCTCTTCAGCTGTTCCTTATTCCGTGATTCAATCATTGATGTGTTTTCCATGTACATAACTGGAATGTAAATCAGCCTCTTTGGCGATGTTCACATTTCTTCTCCGGGGCGGGCCATGGTAGGACTTCTGGACCGAGCTGAAAATAGCAGCGATAGAGAAATGAGGTTAGCTATATAGCCGCATAGACGTACGAGCACGCTGGCTGATGAAGTCGACAAGGTTTGTTTCTGTCTAAAATGTGTCCAGCCTTGGGTTACAACCAGATTGTAACTTTCCACAGGTTCAGTCCACAATCTTCACACCCCACAGTCATTATTACTCCGTACCTTCGTCATCTTCGTGGTTACGAGTCACATGCTCTGATTCATTCCGGTCCGGAGCTGATTATTATGATTCCAGGTTCCATGACTTAGGAAGTCAACATGCTGACCGCCTGCTATATCTTGCTCTAAAGTGTTTTATTAGTGCCGGCATAAAATGATACGAACCTTCCGTGCCTGGGTTTGGTCCCGCGTTCACGCGTCACTCAGTGAATTGCTCTATCAATAATCTTCTAGCATTTACAACACCTCCAGTCCTACAGAGTTCTTCTTCTTTCCCTCTTGTTTCTTATCTACCTGTCAATTCATTTAGATTTAGAAAAAGTTCAGGGTCGACTGTCGTTTTTTCTCCGGGACATACCAACCAATACCCGCTATGTGAGTTAGGAGACACCCTTGCCAATGTATTACTTATGCTTCTCCTTTTCCCTGCTTCTTCATCCTCGTTCCCCTTGCGATCTTGGACTGCGCTTCTTCTCTCTATGTATTGGACACTGACATCTACTTGTATAGGCAATTCCTTCGTATCTCAGTATCTGATCTACTGGGAGACAAAGGATACTAGAATCTCTTCGAAGCCAGTCCCAATGCTACATCGTGCATTACCCCAGAAGATAGCAGGGATGATGAATCTCTGCACATCAAACCACAAACACCTTGAACCTGATGATCCTGCGCTCGTTGAAGAGCACAGATTACTTCTATCAAAGTTTATGGAACCCTCTTCTAAGGGTACCAAGAAAATTGAGCGAGTGTCCTGCAACAACTATGAGACAGTTTTTCACTCTCAGACATCTCTGAATAACGCCTCTAACACTATAAATGATGAATTCAGCGCAGTTACCAATCCAGGAGTCTCGTCGGGAGGCAGGAAGAATTGTAATGCCAAGGTAGCTCTTGGTCTACTAACTTCTGCGAGGAAAAGGTCAACATCCAATTTGTCGAGTATGGACAAGCAGACATTTAATTCATCTCCATCATCTGTTGAACGGGACTCATCATCTCCAGCTCCCTCTCCGACCAGGTCTCTAGCGCCAAGGACACGACGTTCTGCTCGCTCGAGAAACAAGCAAATCAATTATTATCCCGTGATTAGCCTCTCTCAGTCTGACTCGGAAGAGGGTCCTTCAGGCAGTAGAGACATAAAATCAGTCAATACTGGCTCACAGGCACGCAAGCGGCAGAGTCACAAACCTTCCAATCAATCATCCCAGCGCCTTCGTCACCCGAATTCGAATGATCCTCTTTCTCATGCTGAAAACCGTATCATCTATTCTTCGCGAGGGGTGCAGATTCGGAAGTTGAACTTCAGATCCCTTGATCACCTCAAAGATCTTAAACACGCACCATTCTGGCCAGAACACAATCCTGTCAAATATGCCAGGAGATACAGGGAGTCCATGACAATATCAAGTGAAATCTTGCATGTTGATTTTGACTCGCACGAGATGACAGCTATGCTGGATTTATTATCATTACATGGGTGGCAGTATTCACCGACCTCAGAAGTCTCAATCAGTGACCAAGTTATCGCAGTATTGTCGAGGCATGATGTCCATCGGGATTTTGCGAAGAAAATCTCTCTGCTGCGCGAACTTGCCAGATTCATTTCAAATGAGGCAGTCATTGATACTAGTACCTGGCTCTGGGAAGTATTGACTTCAAAAGTCAGAAGCAAGAATCAGCAATCTGTGAGACATTGTCTTACTCAACTCCTTACTCTCAAGGGTATGGCAGGGGGTGGAGTCTTGTCCGCTTCGCCCGCAGTCATCAAACAACAACTCCAGATATTCCTAAGCTGCTTGCCTCACGCCTCTATACTTTCTCGACGTCAGCCTGCCGATATCGATGCATTCATCCAGACTGCAAGAAATGGACATCTTTCATCATCGCCTTCGATTATTCAGGCTGCTCGAGTGACTGATAGTAGCAGCAGCTCCTCGGTATTTGGTCCCATTCGAGCCCTGAACAATGTGAACGCATTATTACAGAATCGTGAGCTAGGAGGGTCTGTAAAGCGACAGCTTCGAACTAAGGTCAAGTCAGATTTCAGTCTTCTGAAGACCTGGAAAGGTGCTTCAAATGACGTGAATGTCCTAGCTTGGTCGCCTGACGGTACCAGATTTGCAGCAGGCGCCACTGCCCAATGTGATGAGGGCAATATGGAGTACAATCGGGGCAACAACTTGGTCATTGGGGACTTGACGTGCAATCGCCTCGAGGAGGTGCCTGGTCATTACATAATTCGCCCTCCTGGGAGGGCTGCGTCTCAAAGGGCCACAAGTGACAACCGTCTCTTCATGAGTGTTACTGCTATGCAGTGGTTTGATGATACACTTTTTACAGCCAGCTACGATAATACGGTGAAACTCTGGAGGTTTTCCGGCAACCGGATAACAAATCACAAAACGCTCCCACATGAATCGAAAGTATTAGTCATGGCGCGTTCAAATTTTCAAGCGAATCTGCTGGCAACCGGCGCGCAATCTTTCAGGCTATGGAACATCATGGAGTCAAGGGAGGATGCTCCCCTAATAATTGAATCCAGAAGAGACCTGACTCCCACTTGCTTGGCTTGGGGGAGTACCCATGACACTAAACATTTACTGCTCGCTGGGATGTCCGAGAGGGATGATGGCCTACCACACGCTTGCCCAGCCCCGAGTGGCTTTCTCACTGGGTGGCATGTGGGTGAGGCTTCAATAATTCCAACACCATTTCAGCCTAATTCACAGAATATATTCGATATCAAATGGCACCCGACCTTGCCGAGATTTGCCACAGCAAGTACGGTAGGCCAGAGCCAAGTGTCTCGGGGAACCAGGTCTGTGGTCCGTGTTTATGAACCACTGAAGTGGAAATCTCAGACAATTGAGTTCGAGTGTCCTGCGCTGGACATCAATGATATCACCTTCTGCCCAATGAACTCATATTATGTGACCGCCAGTTGCACTAATGGCGTAACATATGTTTGGGACTATCGCAAACGAGATCAAGTCCTGCTAGAGCTTCCTCATGGTGAACCTCTCAACCAATTAGATGAACTGCTTGAGAGGGAGCAGGATGATGTAGGTGTTAGAATGGCCTTGTGGGGGGACGAAATCAACCAACTCTACACAGGGGCCTCAGACGGTATTGTTAAGCAATGGAATATCTTGCGATCTCAGGAGGATGCCCTTACAAAGAACGTCTTTGGAATTGAAGAGGAGATAATGTGCGGTGCCTTTTCAAGTGATAAGTCAAATCTCTTGATTGGAGACGCAGGCGGGGGTATCCATATCCTCTCTACTTCATGCTCTTCGCCTCATGAGGGCAGAGACCCAAATGAAGATGAAAGAAAAATGCAATTCAGGCACGCAGCTCAGCCGCCCTGCGATGATCACTCATCAGATTCAGAGTCTGGGCTTGTAGCGGCCCGAAAGCTACTGAATTCTGGGAAGCTCAAAAGACACCCTGTTTTTGGAGTGGGTCAAGGCCCTCATTATGATGGACCTTTTGCCGGGTGGGCTCGCCCAGGGAACCCAGATCAACCTCATCTTGGCAGTCTCGAACCGGATGTTAAGATGCGACAGCTCGATGGGCCGGCCCCTAAGGATCGCATTGGCTTGGACGAAGAATCACGGCAACTTGTGGAGGCTCATATTCAACTTGCTCGGATTCGCAACCAGCGGCAAAATGGATATAAAAGGAAACGTGCTGTTGATGTCATTGATCTGTGCAGTGATGAAGAAGATAACCGTGGCCCGGAAAGGCGAGCGCAAAGTCGGCACATTTACATTGGAGACTTCATGGGCATTGCCAATCTTCAATGTGAGGTCATAGACCTAACAGGTGACACCGATACTGATTCAGAAGAGAATGCAAGTACTGCGAGAGCTAGGCCACCTTTCTCTGAGTTCCCTAAAATGGACTCTTTGCTTGAAACGCTGGAGGCAGGTCTTGAAGAGGATTTTTGGTGGCCGGACAGTGGCCAGGTCAATCCTAATTTTCCACAAGAAGAAGCATAAAGCTGAGCAAGGTCAAGGGGGCTATGGAGCAGGTCACCGGCCTCCTGGGTGCTATTTTACCTATATCACCTTCATTTGTTGTTTGTCTCTCATACTTTCATTCACAATGATATGATTATTGATTTGTGGCTTGTTATGAGTTGGGAATGAATGATATGCTGGATGTTTACATTAATTGGTATGACGGTCTAGTAACATGGTACGTTTATATTAATATACTAGAAGCTAGGAGACTCTATAGGTAGGTAGATGTTAGGATCCGGCTTCATCTGGTGTTGGTTTGCCCTATTAGGTGATAGCTAAGTTTCTAGGGACCATGCCTTTGATGAGTAAACTCATGATAAAAATACATGAGAAAGAGTGCTTCTATCGCACTTTGACCCCTTAAACTAGACTATCGCTCAAAGCTTGTTCCAGCTGTGAGGTGATAGATTAGTTTGATTGCTATGCTATGGAGTATTGTAAGCATCTAGATTCTAGGCACCATTACGGAGTAGAAGGGTACTTATAGTGCCTCTGTAACAACATTCATATCTACTGCCAGTCGTCCAATCAGCAGTATTTATTGTCTGGGCCACCGCCACAGGGCACTGCAAAGTGGTTGACCCGGTCGTGGCTAGGTGGCCATATCTATTTATATGAGATCATACCCTTCTGCTGGAACCATACTTGAACGAACGACATTGCCATCTCCAAATTTCTATCCCTTCTTCTTTAGCTGTACTCACGAGTCTGATATAAGAAGACGTCTGATCCTTCGCTATCGACGTACTTGGACATATTGTTGTTGGCCGTCCCTAAGACCGAGTCGGCTCCCCTCATCTCTTTCCTCTCTCCATGTCATTTGCCCCGCCTCCCGGACCTCCGCCGCCTTCCGTCCCAGAAGGATGGAAGTCTCAATATGATGACCGCTACAAGCAATGGTGAGTCCTCTTACGGCTTCGGTCTTGAACTTGCTGTAAATGCCTTGGATCTAATCTACCCTGCTCAAGGTTCTTTGTGAACTTGCACACAGGCAAATCCCAATGGGAACGTCCCGAGGGTCCAGCGCAGAAAGAAGAGCAGCATGCTCCTCCAAGCGGGCCGCCACCGTCATACGATGACTCTGGTCCTGCAAATCCGTCTGTTCAGGCTGCCGCAACTGACGACAAGAAGACGCTGGGGTCGAACAACCCCTACAACCAAGCAGAACCCAGCAATGATACCCTGGAGAGCGATGCCCGGCTCGCTGCTCAGCTACAGGCTGAAGAAGATGCTCGAGCTCAAAGCAGAAGCCCTGCTCATCCCGGCGCGGCGGCAGACTACTACAGCGGAAGCTCCAGGCCGCTGTCCTCAACGGGTTATCAGACGTCACAGGGCCCTGCGCCGGCCCCTGAACCGAAGCGCAGCAGAGGCTTTTTGAGCAAGTTGATGGGTAAAAGCTCGAGCAGTAGTGGTAGCTCTCACTTTGGAAGACCGCCTGTTGCTCAGCAGCAACCTTACGGGTATCAGCAAGGAGGCTACTATGGCGGGGGCTACCCCCCGCAACCGCAGCCCGCAGGCTATGGATATCCTCAGTACCCGCCACAGGGTGGCCACTATCCCGGAGCGGTGCCACCGCGGCGGGGCGGCGGAATGGGCACTGCAGGCGCTGCCGCTTTGGGTGTGGGAGGCGGTTTGCTCGGCGGTGCTCTGCTCGCAGAAGCATTCGACGATGACCATGGGGACACGATCGTCAATAACTATGGTGATGATTACGGTGGTGACTTTGGCGGCGGCGATGACTTTGGTGACTTTTGAGTTTGCTGAAATGTGCGCCGCTGTGTTGGCGCTTGTCCTCACCTGTCTTGATTTCAGTTTTTAACTTGATGGGTCACGAGAGCGCGGGCTTAATTGTCCGCTCTCGCCTGCTGCGTCTGTCCCAGATGCTCTAAGCGTATCAACAGATGCGCATGTACACAGACTTGTTTCTGATCGTTTTCCCGATGATATGATGTTGATGATGGTCATGTAAATAGTATTCTTGCTTGTGTTCTATTACTTACTTTTTATACTCCCATACCGGTTGGCTGAGATCCATTATGTAGTCGGAAATAGAGTCAACTCGACTGATATTATAGGAAATATCATTTGCGAGCAGCTGGCTAAGACGAAGCCAATGAAATAGCCTGTCAACCTCGTCTGCGCGTAGTACCTCCAGTTTCCCGACCGGTTGCGGCTCCCCGGGGGGCTCCAGAATCCGTCTCAGCGACTTGTCTTGCGGTGGCACCGGCCATCCAGCCGGCGAGATCGAAATTCCCAGGCCCCCCACCACCAGCCATAGCATTCCGCGTAGCACCAGAGATCGGGGAGGAGCGTGATTGCTTCTCGAATTCAGCACGCATTTCCGGGTCCACTGACAAATAAGTTAGCACGCAGGCAAGGCGTGTATATGCAGGAATCAATAGTAGCAATACGACTTACTATTCTCCATAAGTTTCGGCATCCCAAAGGTGAAGCCCAGGGCTACCAAAGCCAACAATATCATAGGGTTTTTGAAGAGCGAAAGAGGCGAAACTGGCACGACGCATTTTGTCAGCATACACATCATTTGGAGCGCGCAAGGGTGAAGCATTCTCCACCACGGCAGCACGGGGGCTGGAATCTATCTCACATCTAGCTCTTTCTTCATAGAATCCTCTTCTAGCCAAGACCTTAGCTTCCACCGTCACCTCTGCGGCTTTGGCGCCGTTACCAGCAGCAGCATCGACAACGAACTTCTCCTGGCCGCGATTGTCCCATGGGTTTCCTCGGTAAGTCTCCCACACGCCCAGGACAGTTCCATCGGCAGAGACGTCCACCCGGTACGGGGCAAAGACATACTCGGCCGATCGGATATCGAGCAGATAGGACTCCGGTTTCGTCGCCTTGAGGTTCCGGAAGACGAAAGAAGCCGAGCGGGTGAGCGGGGCCGTCAAGGGATGAGGTACGTGACTGTTGGCATCTTCCCTATCCTTCGGTGACGGTAATGAGGTCAAGGTCGCGTGTGTCCCAGCTGGGAGGATGTTAGGGTTGGGTAGCATATTCGAAGGAGGAATGGTGATTGTGAGGGAAGCGGACAATACTGTTGTGAAGGTGGCCGCAACGAAAAGGAGAAGGGCGGAAAGAGACGACCTGAGGAAGAACATGATTTCAAGGGAGGGAGGCGCTGAGCCTAGAATAGAATTGAAAAGGACAGCAGCGTCCTCGCACAATTTTTTGAGAATTTCGTAGGCGGTTAGGCGAAGAAGAGATGTCGTTTAGATGGAACAGAGCTGCGTAGGTGACGAAGGCGTGGTGATGGAGTGAGTGCCAAGCTCTTCGGTCATTCGTCTATTTTCCGCATCAACCTACTACTGCATAAGCGACAATGCTACTAATGACGGACAAGATTCGAGAAAATCGAACCTTGTCATTTGAATGATTTTCATAGCAAAAGCAGAATGCGACTGAGACTGGGCTTACATAGCCTACTGCCGTGCAATGAGATCGGCTCAATGTCGGCCATTGACACCTCACTGACTGCCACAGCATTCACACCTTTCCAAGAGGACAGGAAAAGTACAAGTCCATTCCAACTGCGGGTTATCTCACTAATGAAGTGGCCCCTATACCTATCTCGTAGTCACTTCCCGTTTCGAAGGCATGGCAAAATGGAATCTCGACAGGAAACGCAAGATATCAATACCACCCAGGCACGAAGGCTGGTACTCTAAGGCAACCGGGGTCTGAACGCAAGATATAGAAAATATGGCATGTGCACTATCTGCTGTTCCGTAAGGCCAAAGACCATTCAGACATATGTACATTGCTTTAAGAGATTGGCTATACTACACACGAGCACAGATAACTTGAAGGACTGGTATAATTCTATACAAGAAGAGAAGTCAAACCACATTTACAGCTTAGCCTTGGGAGCGGATTGTTCCTCCAGAGCCTGCTCATAAAGCTGGTCCAGGAGCTGGCGATACTTCTTCGCGGTAGGAGGACGCTTCAGCTTGAGACTAGACAGAAAACCAGTGTTAGTATCTGAAAGCAATGGCAATACTGCACGAAAGAACACGGCTACTTACGTCGGTGTCAGCAAGTTATTTTCAACCGAGAAAGGCTCAATGAGCAAAGCACAGTTCTTAACCCTTTCGTAACCAGCAAGCTTGTGCTTCTTGGCGACCTTCTCGAGGTCCCTCAGCACAGCCTTGCGGACCTTGTCATCACTCAGAACCGACTTCAGTCCCTCAATGTCTGTAGCGTCGATAGTCCGACCGAGAACTTTGCTAGCAAATGGAGCGAATGCATCGGGCTGGACACCGAAAATGCCAACCAGGAAAGTTTGAACGCTGTCGCCATGAACGTAGCCTTGAGCAAAGTAACTAAGCTCAGACAGGTAGACACCTTCAAGCCGTTCGGGAGAGATGTACTCTCCCTGGGCGAGCTTGAGGACATTCTTCCGGCGGTCGATGATAATAAAGCGACCCATTTCATCAATTGTGCAAACATCCCCAGTGCGGAACCAACCATCCTCGGTCATTGCTTTGCTTGTCTCCTCCGGGTTCTTGAAGTATTCCCTGAAGATATTGGTACCACGCAGAAGTAACTCACCCCGCGGGAAAGGCTTGTCATCGACCGAATATTCCATGTCAGGCAGAGACATTAGACAGGCTTCGGTGGAAGGAGCGATACGCCCACAGTTGCCGGCGGTAAGATCCTTCGCAGACTGCGAGCTTGCGATGGCGTACGTCTCAGTCAGGCCGTAACCCTGGATGAAGTCGACTCCAAAGGCAACTCTCAGGAAGTTGTGCAAGGAGGGGTCGAGGGGCGCCGAGCCAGAAACCATGAATCTACACCGTTCCAAACCAATGGCCGCAGCGACCTTCTTGGCCCAGATTCTGTCGTATAGAGCATGCTTCACGGTGGCTTTGCTAGGGTCGGGATTCTTCAGATTGGCAGTTTTGGCGGCAACAATGTGTCTTGACAGAGCACCCTTGAAGCCGGGTTGCTCCACG